TATCGAGTATCATGACGCGAACAATTTTGTCGTTGTCTGGTCCTCCACAGCTCTCCTCCCAAAGTAGGAAACGAAGGTGACGTGGCAGTCACTACATCCATTTCGTTTTGTGCTGCTTCCAATATACGTGTCGTATTGTTCAAAATAACGCAATAGTATGCCATTTTCTATCGAGAGTGAATGAAACAACCCTCTAGGATCATGAATCTGACTAATATTGTCAGAACGGACTCAGAATGTATGTTTGAACCTGATTAAAACTTCATAAGGTGAACGAATATACTTCTTGGCGCAACCACATGAACCAAAGACATAATTCAGGTCGTTAATTCGAGCGATACAGTATGTTGTGAAAATGAGACAGCCAATTAGCAAGGGTCACCCAATCAAACGACACGATTGCTAATGTAAGTACTTGAGCCCGTTTTTACCAACTTGCGTGGTTCCATTTCGCCTCTGCCAGCGCGGCCGAGGGTGGGCGGCCGATGTACCCGCTGTCGTCGTCGCTCAGTGTACTCGAGTCGACAACGAACTTACTGTCCGGAGACCATACTTCGGACCGTGCACGCTTTCAACTTGACGGTGAGCGAACCATCCGCGTTCGTCGTGCCTTACCATGACCTGTAGTTGTCCTCGAGCACGTTGTGCTGTCGCACAAAGTTGCCCTGACGGACAAACAATTGCGCATCATTGTCCAGCGCGACAACAAGCGCATTCAATCGGATGCGTCCGGGTGGCGAAACGAACGGGCAGACTTCCAGCAAGTGGTTGGGCTTCAGTCGACGTTGACGAGGCTGGCGCCCAACGGCTCGTCGAAGACGTCCCAACCAGCGTACGAATCCAAAGTTTACCAGTTTCTCATTCAAGCGGTGCGTGCATGCTCATGTCTTGGCACACAAAGCTTGGTATCCCACATTTTCTTGGGATGTACTGTAGCTGCCGTCGCAATCACAGGTCGCGTCGTTTGAACTCGATATTGCGCTCTTTGTCAACCAAACCGCCACGGTCAAGCTGACGCCTGTTTCGGGCCTGGATGCAAGGGCGTCTTTGACGCTTTCTGTGCGTTGCAACGCTGTAAAATCCAAGATCGTTGAGGCTACAGGTGCTATGGGCGTCCGAACTCCATCTTGCCGGAGCTCGATCCTTCAACCCAACGGGAACAACGCGACCGCGCCCGGCGCGCGGTCTTCCAACAACACGAGCTATACGGGAGGAAACTCGTTTAAGCGGGAGCTTTCCCGAGGTGGCCAATCGAGCATGCACAGGCGAAGCTCGGGACCCGTGCGGTCCAGTAACCTCACCGACACGTCCTCTCTCGTTGTACGTAACTACAGGACGGTTAATGTCGCGGGCCGCTCTCATTGCACCCCTTTCAAAATAGCATGGCCAACAGCAGTTGGATTCGGCCAGCGAATATGCCGAAGACTTGGCGCAAGAGAACGAGACCCTTGTGAAGAAAGTGGCGGAGCTGGAAAAGCAAAACTTACGCCTCGAAGAAGCTGTAATCGCGGCCAACGCGACAATCGACCTCATGCGTCGCGAGCTGGACGAGCTTCGGCTGCGAGAGGCCGGCGAGACCACACGGGGCTTGCAGCTCAAGGCTTGGAACTTGGCGCTAGTGCAGGAATTCGAGATTTTGCGGCTGCAACAGCATCAAATTGCCGCAGGGGCGCCTGTGACACTGGTGAACGACGACCTGCTCCGACGAATCGAGTGTTTGACCAAAGAGGCCTACGAAACACCCGACAGTCTCTATTCAGACTTGGACGAGCCCGTAACTGAGCCAGGTCAGCCTTCATTTCGAAGCCCGCCAAATACTCCCCCGCTGACGCGTCTGTGGGTTCTGTGCGCATGCAGACTTAAGCGACTTGGACGACGACGCGTCAAGCTCAGATGAGGATTCAAATTTCAATTTCGACCCCGCGGCCCCAAGCGACGTCGAGGACTCGCAAGTCGTCGAATCTGCAGTCACAAAAACCACGAATGCGCTGATCGAAGACCTCCGGCAGCTCTTGGCCCGCAATCAACGACTCGTTCAAGACACGCAACTGCTGATTTATGCAGCTAGCGACACTCCAGTGTTGCCAGCCGCGGCTCCATCGGTCATGCCCGACTTGTCTGCTAACATCGACATCCACAGCCAGCGCAAGCACACGCAAGAACTCGAGACACAGAACCGATTTCTCCAAGCCATGACGAAACAGCAGTTAAAGGAGCGCGCCACGTTTGACGTACTCCAGCGCGAACGCGCCGAAGTCGCCCAAATGGCCGCAGAAGAAGCTAGAATGTGGCAAGTTCGCCACGACGAGTTATTTCGGACGGTTGTCGTTGTACCACCCCCTCCAGGTCCGGTGGCCCCGCCACCGCCCCCTCCGGCAGCCCCACCGTCACCTCACAATGTATCAACCCCCGTGGCAGAGGCCGCGAAACGCCGATCCGCTGCGACGGCGAACGAATTGACCAAACATGTTCAAATGCTGAAACAAGGTACCTACCTCACTCACCCCACCGTCACCTCGTACAGACTTTAAAACATATAAACCCTGGTAGAAAACCTCGCATTGAAATACAAAAACACAACTCTGGAAAGCTACCAAGAAAAGTACGAAGAATGTGAAAAGCAGCGAAAACGCCTCGAGGTCCGGTTGATGGCGCAGACAAATATTGGGGACGTGCCGCGGCAGCGCGCTATGACGATTCGAAGCAACGGGGGCGACGATGGAGAAGACTCGGACGTTTTCCAACTCACAGTGCAGCGCGCAGCCGCGTTGGATATGCAACTGAACGTGCTCAAGGAACTGAGTCGAACTCAAGCCATGCGCATCGCAACCATGAACGACGAGCATGTCAAAATGCGCCTTGATTTTGCCCACCATGTTGACGTGATGAAGACTCGTGTGGTGCAGCTCGAAGCTGCTGCGGCCCGACCACCTGCTGCCATTGCATGAACTCAGGCAACCATAATCAGAGAAGGAGAGTGCGATGCTGTAACTTAATCGGGATGAGTTGATCTGTGTGGCTAACTAAATTCATTCTGGACGCGTGCCCGTCGTCGACCCTCTACTGCTTCCTGTCTCGAAGAACCATCACCGTTATTCTCGGTCGGATGGCGCCGCCCCGCCACAGCGCAAGCTATATGATCTTGCCTTGCGCAATTCCACCGAATACCCCGACGAGAAACAGGAACGTCATGTTTAAGGTCAGTTAGGTTTCGTTCGTCTTGGCGAGAACTCGATATCGCTCGGCATAAGAAATCGGTCTTGTGTCAAGTGCAGCCAACGCCATGGCTTGATCATGGAGCATATCGCGAATCCATTGGGTCTGGCGCTGCATACGTTCGGCTGCGGACTCGCCGCACGCATGCGGGCCTAACACAAAAAAATATTCATTTGCATTGCAAGGAGCGAGTCATGACAACACGATTTTACAAGTTGGATGTGGCAAGCCCGTGAGGCACCTGGGGCACATCGCTGGCGGCATTCCATGGAGTTGCCGAAATGCAAGCCGCTCTCGATCCGACGCGGTGGCCTCAGCCTCTTCAATGACCTAGTCATCAGAATTTCGATCCCCTACATCGTCCATGAGGTACATTTGTTACTTCTTGTGTAGCTTTGGCTGTCGCCCGCTTTGAGTCCATGCCCCATTCGGCCTTGAGCACGGCAATTTTTTCTTTTAGAATGGCTCGATAGGCGTTCCCCAGCAGCTTGGACAGTGCGTCAGTGGCGTCGCGCTTGGCAACCTCCCGTGCACAATGGATTGCTTGCTACACCAAGATCGTACGTGCTCCACCACCATCGCAGCACATTGCGTACCAACTCCAGAGCGTGGCGCGAGTTCTCTGCGTCAATCGCAGCGCGAGCTTCGTTGAGGACAGCTTCGTGGCGATGAACCTTTGCCGTCAAGACAGTCAGTCCCAAACCAATAGAGCATAGTGTCACACCATATCTTTTCGTAAGTGGAAGCGAAGTTTGACCTCGGCCGTTTGCATCCGTTCGCGCAGCCTGGCGGTGTACCCACGTGCGAGAATGCCTCGCACGCGAGCTTGGATCTTAGTTGCTATAGCCATCTTCTCAGGACTTTGCACGATTGTATGTAGCTGCAGCCATCCATACCAGCGCAGTTTCGACGGTGGAGATGAACTCGCACACGATGTCCTTTCCACACCCGCTGCACTGTGGTGGCTTGAGGCTTGCACGCTCCAGCAAACACGGCAAAATTCCGCCACCGCTGCCAGCAGTCGCCCGTGCGGCGACTGCATACTTGAGTAAATCGCGCTCGAACGAGTTTGGTCTTCTCGACGGTGTTTTTCCAGTGCCAAAATCGATTATACAATGCTCGCTGAAACACTTTGACCGATGCTTGACAGAGCTAGACGGTATGATCATCGTCAGGAATGCATCGCATTCTGATGCTCCTTGTACCTTGCCTTGGCGAACCATGTTGCGTGTCGCCACCAAGTCCTTCCATGTCGCGAACCGACTCGCCACCGTGGACGCCATCGCTCTATACGCCGCATGAGCGACATGCGATGACCCGTGGCCGTTGGTTCCTCTACCGTTTGAATTTCAGAGTGATGAGTTTGCCCCGTTCGGTTTCCGTCCGCCACGCTGAAAATACGCGATACTGCACGCGGTAGAAGATCCGCATCCGCAATTTATGCGCGTGGTGGTGCTGGGTATGCACGGCCAGTCGGGTAGCGACCGCTGTGTCCAAAATCATGGCCACGGTGGCGCGCGACACGTGGAATCTATCGTGGGTTCGTCCTTTGAGTTGTCCAACTCAACATGCAAGCGAAACGAACCGAGCGTGGCATTTTAATTCCGACATGCAGTGCGTTGCCCAGTGCTGAAGCACTCGGGCCGTCCGTTGGACAAGCAGCTCGTACACCCGACCTGCGACAGTACAACAGATGGGCAAACTGCATGTTGCAGCAGTACCTGGATAGTCCGTGCAACAGTACAGCAGTGCGTTCAACGGCCCGTACTTGGAAGCGTAGTAAAGGTACTTGGTGTAGTCCAAGCGTTGCGCAACTCGTTTCTGCTCGGCCGTGGACGCATTGAGTTGCATTATCCGCTCGCGTTCGAGCTGCAGTTTTTCGTGAAGGAGCCGTCGCCGCTGAAGTTGGTCGAGTTCCTCCTACTACATCATGACGAAGCGACTACCACGAAAAACGATCTCCCCGACTTGATCGAGTTCGGGGGAGTGGTATACATTGAATCCCCACAATGCACTTGCGGATGCATTGGGAAGGCGTTTGCGCGTGTGTTTCGTCGGCGACGTCAGGGCCGTTGCTGCGGTACATCCCACAAGTGACATATGCATCGCAGGGACGACGACTGACACGTACATAGCGTGGCCACTCGTTCGGGGGGCTTGCCCTGCTTTCTGTGCTGTAGCATTTGCGACTTGAGCGGCGAATGATGGTGGCAAGCGGGGAGGCCATTGCGAGGCAAACTCACGACCTGGAACTTCGGTGGGCATTCCCGCATGCTAATGTGCCGCAGCCACCCTTTTCAGGTTGCTGCTGCCTCACCGTGGCGGGAACTATTTCCGTCGGAAATCCCAAGGAGAAACGACTTTTTCGGACGACAGGAACCATACTCTAGCAAAATTCTCAACTCAAGCTTCAGAAGCCAACAATGCGTCGACCGCCCCCAACAGTGAACCCGCTATTTTTAGCCGGCTTGGTACTGGGCAGTACACTCATCCGACATTCGACACGGGTGACCGATCATGTCCTTCTTCGGCTTGACGTTTTTGGGAACGCAAGAGCCATTCGTGGGGACCGTTCCCCTGTATGCGTTCGACGATACCGAGCTCGTGGCTGCGGCAGAAGCCATCTCGAAGGGAGATGGGGGCGCCGTGGACATGGCTAACATTGAAGCGTTTCTTGCACTAGTATACCGCTGCCCTCGTGAGGTGTCTCCCCCGCAAGATATTGTTAACCAAGTGCGCGCCTGGTTTCCACAAGGAGTGTTGCCACTGAGCCAATTCACCACTGGTAACAACTTGGCTGGGTTCCACTTGATCACGCTGTGCCCCTGGCCACGTTTGGTAGGGATCCTGGCACTGAAAGCACATGCGGAGGCAACGGAAACACAAAACCAGACCGACACTTGGTCCAAGGGCTGTGAATTCACGAGTGGCCTCGACTTGCGCGCCGCTAAGGTCAAGCACACTCGCATGATCAAGGACCCGAATGAAAAATACACGGCTCCGCTCACGGATTCTCAAACGTTTGGGTAAGTGGCATGTCGTCCCCGATGTGCGCGATGATGAGACGACAATGAATTCGTGACTACGCAGATGGGTCAAAGGTCCACCAGTCAAGACTTTCCCAAAAAAGAGTTGCGAAGAGACCAAGTTTGCCTCTGCCATGATCCAGTCTGGAGTCAACTACTTTTAAGCCATAACGCGACACAATTTAGTATCGCTCATTCTTCTACATGCTCCTTCTTGCAGCATGAGCAACAGAATTCACAACCCATGGCGTCGTTGTGGTCCAACTATGCGTATGGACATCACAAGATCGCCGAGAACAGCATAGAAAGAAACATCGGGTTTTCCGTTGGTTAATTTCTTTCACACCATGCCTCGCCGTGAACTGCATGTGCTATTGAAGACGGAGGGAAGAGCGTGGAGATAAGTCATGCACTGCGTGCAGCCTCGAGGCATGGGGGTCAAAACTGAGATGTGCATTAAGCAGAGATACCAATGACACCGAAGGCCTTGATGGGGCCGGCGTTGCCGTTTTGCAAGCTAAGTTCATGGCCACCCTTGCCCAAGTCGTCTTCGTTTTCATGGACCACGACAGAACGGCCGATGACAGAGTGCGGACCGATAAGCTTGAGCAGAGGGTCTTCGATGTGCACCTTGGCGTTGCCTTCTTCGTCAACCTGGATGTTGCCGAGGGAACCCACACGACGCTCTTCCTCGTCGGGGGCACCATGGCTCTTGCCAAACGGGTTGAACACGCCACCAGTGGACGCACCGTTGTTCGACACGTCGCCAAAGACGTTGATGTGCAGAGCATGCTTACCAGCTGATAGACCCTTCAAGGAGCCCGCAACTATGGTCTTGGCATCTTCGTTCGATTGGGACAACACAAGGGTGCCATACACCGTGGCGTCGTCGCCGTACAGAGTCACCACTGCCTTCGCCATGGTCGTCGAAATCTTCGTTGGCACCAGTCGTGCCTGCGACCATGGCGCCATCTGATTGGTCGACATAATAAAGCAATTCAAGAAAAATATCAAGAAAAATGTATACATTAATTCTGTTTGGTCTGAATGATTCGCATACGAATCCAAAGACATTCCCTGGACATGGAATGAAACGGTTCTACAGGCGTTTCACGTGTAACGGTGCCAGCACTGAAGGGGCACCCAATCTTGACGACGGGTGAACTCCGTCCACCGCCCAAGGAAGGACCATCGAATACATTTTGGCCCGCGAGATGCCATGAGAAGGAGTTGCTTCCGTTGGCTGCCGCTGAGCGAGTAGCATTCCGAGGTGGACGAAGGTTGTGTTTTGTCTTTAGACTCATTGGAAGGATCGAGTATGGATGGCTGGCGTCGTGCAGGGAACAAAGGTTGACTGGTTTTTCTAAGGTTATAGAATCGTCGGGACTTCTTGTGCTGTAAAACTGATAATTTTGAGACAGGATGTAAGGCCCACGACGATCGCCAACCCCCCACATTATCTCGTTTTGTTGTGGAATTGTCGAGGCGTCTGAATTCGCTGACGGTGCATTGCCAGCAGCTTGAGTGAAGGGAGTTTTTGAAGACACTTGCATGTCGATGGGAGAACTATTGATGCCACTGATCGGACCCACTCGACGAATTTGCTTCGTAAAGTTGGTCTGGAATGGAGACCATGTCAAACGCGGAGAAATTGACAGCAAAGTACTAGCTCGCATGAGAAAACACGACACACATCGACATTCACCGCGCCCGTCATAAACATTTTTGAAAACGGCGGTGTTCATGTGCATTGTCCAAGTCCGCAGACCATGGTACGGAGAGCTGACGAATGACAGTCGTACACCGACACCTTTGAACGGACCTATCGGTATACCTTGATCTCTTTCGAACTTGCTGCGGCGGCATACCCCGGCTAGAGCTTGCAACAGTTTATGCTGTCATTGGACCATGCAAAGACGAGGATGCGTCGGCCATCGCACCATGAAGTGGCTTTGGGCAGACTGCATGTCCGTGCAAGCCTTGCCCACTTGTACGGTATATGAAACACAGCAAAAGCTAGAAGCAGGGGGCTCAAATTGAAATATGCCACCTCATCGACTTCAACATCGAGAACACCAAGGGGGTCCAGATTCTGGGGGAATTCCCACACTCTTGATGGTACGGGAGCAAAAGAACCGGTTGAACCAGTGAAGGTGAAGAACCTACAGGACAGAGGATCTCGGCCACACATTTTTTCCGACCTCGGAACGATTGCGTTCAGGTTACTCGAAGTATTAACTTAGCGATTCTGGCTTGCGCAAGGGATGTATGCATGTTGAGGGCGGAATGACCATCGTGCCATCAAAGCTGTGATTGGCTCAATCACGTAGCCTTGGCAAATGCGGGCATTCGATTGGCTAGAGCGTTTGGCAGTGCTCTTGGTGTGTGGTGCGAAAGAGCAAGAAAGCACTGGAATTGTCGTCAGCATGCTCGCGAAGATGTCAGGTCGCATGTATTGCAAGCGCACACGGGCATGTTGCATATGCGAGGGCGATGGATCTGCCTTGTTGTGTGAATCACAGAAACGTCGGATCGACCACCGCCAGGCCAGGAGCACGTGCTAAGAAACCGTTTCTTCGCATTAAATAAGACTAGACAAGACTATGCCGGACGGCGCTTAGTAGTCGTCGTCGTCCATCGAGGTCACCGTGTGGCGACGGGTTTGCGCGAGGCAGTGTGTACAGGGTGGATGGACTTCTTCGATCGGGTCGTACGACCGGCGACCTTCTCGCAATTGCGACACTTGCGCCGGGATGTATGGTACACGTTGGCCACCGACAATCGTCGTGGGTTTGTTTTCGTTCGCGTACTTGCGAGGTATGGCAATCGGTTCGGACACGACATACGAGGTTTTCTTGGGCTTCTTTTGCTTGGCGCGTGTCGCATGCGGGCACGTGCACTTGCTGCGCTTGGTGAGGGCTTGAAACCACGACGCGACCTTGACCTTGAACGACATCTTTTCCATCGAGCGGCCAGCCATGCTTGAGATTGGCAATCGAGATACTATTGGAAAGTGAGATGTTTCCACGCCTGGGTGGCGCTGGACCTCGGATCGACGGCAGAATGTTTGTTTCGAAACGCCAGTTCGAGAAGTTTACGACGAATAGGAATGTTGGTTGAGGTATGCGGAGTGTGTGTGAATGTGGTTTCGTGTGCGAACAGTCGACCGCCGCCGCATCCAAGCGTTCCTGCTGCTTGTAGATGCGGCAGTATGGAGTGACGTGGGCCTGCCTTCTAATGGAAGCATGCATCGTCCGAGGATTTCAAGTCGCAAAGTGGAGGTTCGTCGGGCAAGATGTGGCCGGTTGCTGTCACACTGCCGTCATTTCTGGCCAACCACCAGTTCACGGAAATGTGGATGATCCTGCTTCGGTAAGGTATAAAACGCCCAGGCTCGCCGGACGCTGGATTGGATGCAGAGACGCCGCTGGCTCCGCGAGCCTATCGCGTGACCCGATCTCCCAGCCCCCCTCCCTATAAATAGACAATATATATATGGACGATGTCGAACGACTCCGCCAACCCGTCCTCATCCCAAGATTCCAAGAGATTCTCGTACAGTACCTCCATTCAACTTGGCTGCTACTTCGACGTCAAAACATTCATGTCATTTTGCCTGGGGGGCATCGCTGGAGGAGCAAGGAGCGTGGGATTCGGATAATTGTGCAGGTCCCCTCCATGGAAAGTTGTGTGTTCCCACGTTTGGCCGAGGAAATGTTCTGTATTGCATATTAGGTGGCACGGCGTGCTGCGTCGTCACAGCAACCTGCGGCACCTCCACCGCGTCAACGTACCATCCCAAGCCGAGTTGTGATGACTTCCGTTTTCTCAATGGCACCACCGTTTTGGGTTCCTGAAAGTGCCGCACAACGGCGAGGTGCCACCAACGTGTCAAAGTTCTATGCTACGCAAGATATGCTGAAATGTGGTCTTTTCATGCAAATCAAATTAATTTCTATGCTGCCACGGTACGCGAAACAAATGAATCTTCATCCAAGTATAGGGCGCGGCATCTTTTTTGTGAGAATACGGTCCCTATATCCGGACTAGGTAGTACTGTCGATGTCTTGTGTTCTGTGTGTGCCCTGTTCAATGTCCAAAGTGGTGGAGAGGATGACCGCCACGAATGCACTATGCACGATGCGAATCCTCCATCCACAACCTCTCGGACTGCCGAGTCGCGCGCGTTGCTCGTGTATCTGCCTCTTGGGCGACGAGCCATGTCCAGCGCCAACGTGACATGCCATCGTAGTACGTTTGGCAACGCGTTGTACCTAAAATGATTGGCACATTCGTTTGGACATTCGTTGTGATTCCAAAGTTGGAGAGTGTCTCGCTGGGTTGGCCGCGATGAAGCACAAGAATGTTCTTGTGGCACTGTCGCCTTCTCTACAAAGTGCATGCGATTTGACTTAAACCACGTATCGCAACCCTCGATCGAACATTTGAAGGTTTATGATTTGATCCCTTGGCTGCACGCACCCCATCCATTTGATAGGACCCACCCATCGTGTCCAGCATGTCTCTGGCGCCAGTCGTGTCCGCCACTCCACGATCATGATCGGATTAAAGTCTCGACAGAGCGAGAAATTACAGACGAAGAAGCCACTCTTCTGGCCACCGAAACAGAATAGAATCCCATGGTCGTCGGCTTTGCAACATATCAATGGTTGCGAGTAAAATCCAGCAAGGATCAAGCGGCGAGATGTTTGAGATAACAATATAATGCATGACTGTCGGTGGCAGTATCGTCCGCGCAGCCACTGCGCGACAACCGGGATGCTTGGCAATTGTCACACGCTTGCCTCGTGTTTGGTCGTTGCGATCGTAGGATTTGCGTCCGCCTTTACTTGCGATACTAGGGAAAATGGCACACGCAAGCCTCCGACCGCCGCGTACAGTTTCGATTCGTTGGCGCATTTGCAGGGCCACGAGATCGCCTCGACGTGCATATTTGTCGCCTTGGTGTAGTGTATTCTGGACGAGTTGACACACGTGGAAATTGCCTTGAAGCGACGAGAGGGTATTTAACTACATTACAACTTTTGCATGGCAAGGACGGGGCCTTGCGGGGAAGGATCGCCATGGTGAAGGGCAAGATGTGACAAAATGCCAAGTGGTAGCCCATCACCGCAGCTTCGATCTTGGAACGGCCAACCCAAAGGTGGTGGTGGTGCGACCTCACTTGCGAAGGTACAGCCCACGGAAACTCTCGAGCCACTTCCCAATTGTTCCTAGATTGTCGCAGGTTCGACTATCCCGGACGGTCTCAATTCGCCGTTGCTTTGGCATTTCGCTGTATCTCTGACATCACACCACCGTATGTACGCACGGCACTCCAGCTTCTCCACCTTATACTCGACAGAGGATCGTGTATGACGAACCAAATTGTGAACGGCTTTGCGCCGTTGTGTACACCGCATGAAAGTTGATGATTGGGACGAACCTGCTCCCCTTTCAAGTGAAACCTCCTGCTGTGCACAAGCACGGCCGAGGGAATCGCCCTCGACAAGGTCGCACCAGGGGACAAACACGCCGTTGTCACGATCCTGCTGATGTTTTCTTTCGTCGCATGTCCACGTTTCGCGGATGCACGACCCTACGCATCTAAACTTGTGACACGACCCATCGATTAGGAATACATCGTGGGACTGTTCTCGACAACGACTGGCTCCCGCCACGCCTCGCGCCATTCCCGTTGCGACACGTCCGATTTCGCGGCCCTTTCAACAAGCGTGCGTCGTCCCGTCGATAGACATGTTGCGCATGTTGTGACGAACAACCAGGTTCTTTCTCTCGGCTCCACATGTTGTCGACTGGCGAGTTCCCTTGTACAACTTCGAGGCAAATCATTGACATGGTTTGAATGGTTCCATTGTAACATCGGCAACTGCATGAAAAGCCGACAATCAAGCCTTCATTATACGGGTGTACTTGGTACTGGGTTGGATGCTCTAAACTGTTTGCGAGAACGAACACGGACACGGCATCCTTGTTGGCACCACGAGCGAGATGGCTGCGGCATCTTGTGGTTTATATAAAAGAGTCGACAACGTGTTCACCTCCAATGCAAATGAGGATGTCGCGTAAGAGAGCATGCATTTCACGCCCTATACATGTCGGATTCTTTTGCATCTTGTGTGAACTGTGCGTCCACATCGCAGTTTCGATGATTATATCTACCTCCCCCGACCTCCTTCTTCGTCTTCGTCCTTTTGCTCTCGTGGACTCTGGTGCCCATGCAAGCCCAACTTCCAGTGTATCGTGCGAGAGGTACATGCACCCTTCCCCCCGCGCTCGAGAAACTTTTGGCGTAGATATCTCGGACTCGAAGTTGAGCTGTCGCAGACATGGACGATGTTGGAAACGAGTGTGCTTTCAACCACTCTTGCCGCCGTCACCTTTGTATCCAACATCGGGATGCGGACGCCAGGACCCTAATGAATGTCGAGGAGTGCTGGTAGTCTCGAAAGTAGAGCCCACCGCAAGGTGTTCACTTTCGAATTTTCGTGCCAGGGACCACAACTGGGTCGAGATGGAACTAGCCACGCTCCTGTCGTCGAACTGGTCCATTGAAAACACACCCACGCCCGCCCCGCGCCGCAAACGTGTACTCACCCCCGAACAGCTCCACATCAACCGCATCCGATCCAAGGAGTACTACGAAGCCCACAAAGCCAAAGTGCTCGAGAAGCTTCGGCTCAACTACGCCAGCAACCGCGACAAAGAGCGCCAACGTCAACGGGAAAAATACCGCCGCTCCAAGGCAAGGAAGATGCAAAGGATCAAGCTGCCCCAAGAAGCCGCCGTCCGCATCGTTGGAGCTGCGAATGACAGTCTCGTGACGTGTGCAGCAGTGGCGCCAACCCCGGATTATCGCCTTGCGGTGCGGTTTCTTCTAAACAACTAGTCTAGACGATAGTACTCTAGACACCCCATATTTAGCACGTTGAACGTCGCGCTGTGTGCATGACTTGGCTTGTTGTCCACGTTGGACTCATCGGCGGGTTGACGCAAGACACAAAACACACCTCGACGCAAAACACTTTGAGATCAAGGAGGAGCTCGATGTGGCTACGAAAGAGACGGCCCCTAGATCACTCGCTCGGACGAACGACACCGAGTGCACGGTCGACGCGAAATCGTGCGATGTTTGCGTCGAAGTCAAGTCGGCCAACCCCTCGACACGAAAGAGATGAGCACCTGGATTTAATGCATTACTAGTACACTTAAACCGCGATTCTGAGCATGCACCCACACCACCTTTTCAGTTGAGTTGACCGGGAATGAATCTGCGCGCTGCCACTCTAGTCCACGAAAATGTGTCACTTTGCCCTTGTCATTGGCGGCATTTTCTCCAGCTGTGACGTGAGGCAATCTAATTGGCTAGCAAGAAACAGCAAAATCTTGGATAGAGGGTTTTTGTACACGAACGCGTGAAGAGGTGATAATAGTTAGTATCTCTTTGCAACGCGCACAAGATGACATGCTCAGGGTTCAAAATCTCCATTTCATCCTTCGTGGTGAATAGAAAACCATCATCCATTGCACACACCTGTCCAGCGATGCCACCAGATTTGTTCAACCCTGCTTCCCTGGGACACACCACCCATGGCGCAAGCTCAACAACAACAAGCGTGCTGCCATCAACCATGCGCTCCTTGAAAGGAGCATGAATGGCAAGGTCCTTCACGGGACTATGTCTGAGCCTGCTGAGCAATTCAAGTGCCATATACGAACAGTGTCGCATGTGTGGAAACGTGGATAGCTCACTGTTCATGTAGGCCAATGTTTCGTCGAAGTTCCAAGGTTTTACCTCTCATATTGAATATTCCCACCAAGGTATATTATATTTGATGATAGTCCATTTTAGGCAATTCAGGGGATTTCGCTGCGCATTACAGATAGTCATCCAAGCTCGCCACCGAGGCTGTGCCTCACAACGCCCGCCAGACGTTGTATGAATAATGGCGGCCCAATCTAGCATTCCCAAGACAGCAATCATTCGCCACAGGAACTATTCAAGATGCCTCTTTGGAGGAAAGAGGCAATATCAAGGACGTGAATTAGTTCAATTTCCAATGTCATGCGCTCTCCGGTCATCGAGACAAGCTCATGCGCACCTGAATGGTTATTGAATTGCCAAGAACAAGTAGGTTTGGCAAAAAACTAATCATAATATTTCTATAGTTGGTTCATGTGATATCAGAGATCCATACAAAC